TGATACACTCACCCTTTCAGACTTGCTGGGTAGAGACGGTTGGTTTAAGCATAAACTGGTTGAAATAGAGAAGGTGTCAGTTGCAGAAAAAAAGGAATAAGCACCAGAGACAGTTCCATAAAGCACACAAAGTGATTTTTTTTTACAGCAATGCTGCTTCTTTTTAAAGGTCAGAAGTATTTAAACAGAAGGCAGAGCAAAGAAACCATCCAGCTTTACACCAAAAAAATTCCACTATTCAGGACTGCCGTTCACTACAAAGTCCAGGTTTTCCTTCAATATGTCTACCATCTCACATCATTCTCACAATGTGCTGTTGCTCCTCCTCCTTTTTCATGACATTCCTACCTCCTGCTTGCTTGACAGAGAGAAAGCCAGTCTTCAAAGAAGCTGTGACACCCCCACATCATGTTCTCACCACCACCATCATTGTCTGAGCAAAACACACACAAAAAAAAAAAATAAAAAATAAAAAAAAAAGATGCAAGTAGAGATGGTGAGGAGAAACACTTCCAGGACTTTAATCAGTGGGATCTTGATGGCACAAAGGCCCATACAGCTGCCCAATCATGTTTGCACTTGATGCTGGCACTGCTGCCTTTCATTGTGTTGAAGAACAAAATCAGCCGTATCTTGATTCACTTTGAAGAATTTTGTCTTTAGCTTTGCCTGTTTTTTTAAAACAAAATAGAGCCCTAATCCAAATCTGTGAATACAGATTCCTGATTTCTCAGGAGTGTTTAAAAGTTGGCAGAGGATTGGTGAGAGACTTATTCCCTACTCCAGAAAAAAGGGAGGGCATTTTAGATAGGTGGGAAGAGGTAGGAGTGTGGGACAGAGGTTTTGGTAACCAGTTCACATTCACATTGTACTGGGCACAGTAAAGGGCTTTCCCTTTCCTAAAAAAAGGTAAGGAGTGATATTAGTTTTGGTTTTCCATGGCAAAGATCCAGCAGCTCCCCTCCAACTGGTGGATTCCTTACATTCTGCTATTCATAGTGAATCCAGTTCTTCAGAGCTGAGGAGTTCTGCAGTCAAAAGACAAAGAACCTCCCACTACAGGCATATTTCTTCTCTCTACAGTGGGCCATGAGATAACCTCTCCCTCCTCCACAATTTCGGTGTCTGTAGATCCCATTCCCAGATCTCAGCACCATCACCATGCTTCTTTGCTCTGTTTCTGCATCACTGTGTAATGTAATGCAAGATATGTCCTAATGTTCTACCCTGTCCTAGGCCACCTGGGGCTTCTCTCCATCATCAGCTTCCTGGTGGCTTTCTTTGCCAGGAAGTTGCCAGACACATTCATTGAAGCCAAGTTCAACACCTTCAGCATGCTTTTCTTCTTCAGTGTTTAGTTGTCTTTTGCTCCACCTACTCAAGCACCAAGGGGAAATACACTGTGGCCATGGAGATCTTCTCTCCACATGCAAAGGGAAGAGGATACCCCTGTTTGGATTTGTAAAGGGCCTGATACTTAGTCATTTTGCAAGGCACTGCATTTTCCAGGAGAATCTTACATGGCAGGTAGATCTGTGTGGGAATTGGTTGAACCTGAAGGATGAGAGGAGGATTGGACTCCGCAGGGAGAGTGTTCTTTCCACTTCAATTTGCCCACAGACAGTAATGCATTCTGCAGAAGTTCACAGTTTATGTGCATATTTGGGGGGTGGGAAATAGAAAAGGCACAGAGATTTTCATGCAGATTGTGTGGTTTCCTACATTAAGAAAAAGATCAGGTTCTAATATAGGGAAAGAAGCATGTGTTTCAAGATGCTCTTCACAAAAGTTTGACAAGTTTCGCTTTGGCTTTCATTCAATGCCTTCAACACATCCTTTCGGCAGCTAAGTTGATGATTTCATCTTATCGCCCTGTCTTCTTATGTATTCCGCCATAAAGTGTTGCTGACATTTCATCAGCACATGCAAACCCATGACTTGCTGGGGCATGAAGGAGAAGAGAATCTTCCTTGTCATTAAAGGACAAAGAGTGTGATTAGAAGTGCCTTTCAGAGGCAGGGCATAATTGTCTTCCTCTTATTCCCCATATCTCCACAGTATTATTTTTCCCCTCCTGAGAAATGCCCATTGCAGGCTCAAAGGGAGAACACAAGCATGGTGTAATCAGGAAGGGTGAAAAAAGTGGTGTAAATCATTCCATGTGTGTCATCAGAAATGCTTGAAGGGCTTTCTCACTTCTGTCTCTGATACCTTTAAGCCAGATGGCATTAGCATGATGCAAGGACAACTTAAGGACCATCCCCAACATATGGTGACTGTGTGGAGTCAAGCTCTGTCGGTGCCCCTCAGCATAGCTGAGTAAATCCTGGATCTTCTTTACTCTCCAATTTGCCAACCACCAAAAATACACAGTACAAAAGTCCACAGCTCAGGTCCACATTGGGGAAAAGCTATAAATAGGAAAGACACTTTAATGCATATAGGCAAAAGGAAATGT